GGGGGGGGGGGGGGGGGTCAGACACCTGCTGCCGCCTCTCCCCAGACGGCTGCTTGTGATGGGCAGGTGTGACCGTCCCCGGCCAGCTTGGAGGCCCTGTGCAGCGGGAGGAAAGGGAGGGTCCAGAGAGGGGCTGGGGCTGCCGGGTGCTCCGGCCTCCGCTGAGGGCCCTGCGGCTGCCACGGTGTCACCACCACCTCCTCTGCTCTCCAGGAGGATTCCGGATCATTCCAAAGCTTGCTCCAAGACCCTCATGGCAAAAAGCTTCCCTGTCAGGGCTCCGCAGTGATCTCCCCTTCCTTTTCCAACCCCCCCCCATCTCTCTCCCTCACCCTGAACAGATCAGGGAGTTCTTTCCTGGGGGGGGGGGCACTTGCCAAAGAGGACGAGCACACCTGCCCTGTTCTGCTGGACTCGTGGGGCATGGATCCAACTGCCGGCGCTGTGGCTGAGCAGTCTGGGGACAGACTCGTCCCATGGAGTCAACAGGGCTGGCGCAGCAGCAGCAGGGGCATCACTGGGGCCCGGTGGAGGCCTGAAAGCACCCAGCCACGGCCTGATCCTGCTGCCCATGCTGCCTCTGCCCCCCCCTCCTTTGTGACTCACCCCTCGGGCATGAAAGCCCCACGGGCAGGGAGTGTCTGCAGGAAGAGTGTCTGGGCTTCCGGTATAACACTCCCCCCCCCCGTCAGCATTCTGCTCTGGACGGAAGAGCCTCTGGCCCAAGAGATCTCCGGCTGCCCTCGGCCAGAGGCAGAGCCTTTTGGGTCCTGGCGCCGGCCTGGCGGAGCTCTCTGCCCAATGACATCCGTGCCCTGCGGGACCTGGCACAGTCCCGCAGGGCCTGTAAGGCAGAGATGTTCCCCCAGGCCTATGGCTGAGGGAGGCAACGGTTTGGGTTTGCCAGCCTGCCTGGCTCCTCCCCTCCCCTCCCCTCCCCTGTGGGGTAAGGACAGGAACTGGTCTTGAAGCACCATCTAGTGATAGAGCGGTTGGGATTTTATAATCGTAACCGTTTATTGATCCTGGTTGTAATTTATTGAAATGTTGTTCGCTGCCCTGAGCCCTGCATGTAGGGGAGAGCCATCTATAAACTGAATGAAGAAACCGACAACGATACCAGCCAAAGGGCCCCCCGCGGAGCAGCTGCGTCCCGGCCTCAGCGCAGCCGAGGTTTCCAGTGCTGCCCCCCCCCCCATTTTAGCAGAAGCCCATTGATATTTCAGACTGCAGTGTGGGGACTCCTTCTTGGCCTTTACTCCGTACTAGCTTGGGAGAATTCATGGGTTGGGAGAACACGTGCGCTTCCCGCCTTTCCATCGGCTGCTGATAGAAGCCAGCACAGACAAACCTGACCAGCAATGCTACCCAGTACCTGCACCAGCAATGCCCAAAGTGACTCCGAGAACTTGGGGTGCAGACATTCAATGCTCTCCATCTGCCAAGAGAGCCCCCCCCCCAGTCCAGGCACCGGCAGCAAACATCCCCAGAGCCAACCAAACCAGCTGGCCTGCAACAAAAAGCCACCCCAACACACCCCGCACAGGACGATCAAGTCCAGCCTGGTGTGCTCCCCCCCCCCAAGCAGGCTGTCTGTCGGGGATGCCCTGCCACTGATTTTTTTTTTTGGGGGGGGGAGGTGTCTCCAAGGTCTGTCTTGATAGCCCACTTCCAACCATGGGCAGCCAGATGCCTCCAGGGGTAGGGGGCAACAGCCCTACCCTCTTTGCCCCCAGTATTTAGTCCAGAAAGAGAAAAAGAGAGACAGACAGCTAGCTCCGGGACAGGGAAACGCCCTCCAGCTTTTGAGTCCAAGGGCCACCAGCTGAGAAGCCTCTCCCCTCCTCCTGGGCTTTTGCCCACGGACACAGCAGCCCATCCTTCCCCGAGCCCCCCACCCCACTGCACCATGGGAACCACGCTGACACTGGCCTGTATTTCACGGCTGGAACCCACGCCACTTGCAATCAGTCAGCCAATCAATCAATCAATCAATCAATCACGGGGCTCCGCTGCCTCCAGTCTTGTGGGGGCCACCTTGGTTCAACACTGGGATATCCGCCCCCCCGGCCGCCATGGTGCCACTACCAGCCCACCTCACCTGATGCCAGCGGGCGGATCCACTCCTTGCTGTTCAGGTCCAGCCTCCACAGGTCATTGAAGGCAGCGTTGCAGCTGCTCTGTGTGCAGCCCCCAAACACGTACATGGACTGATTGGCATCGTAGTAGCACGCACCTGGGGGCAAGCAGACAGAAACACATGCCCCTTGATGGCCCCCTCCCCTGCAGGGGCCGAGAGGAGAGCCGGCCGCAGGACAAGGACGGCTTCCCGGTGGGTTATATCTTTTGTCTGAGGGGGCAGCGCTCACCTGTGGGGGGCACTGCCCCTCAAATGCCCCCTCGCCGTGGCTACAGGCCTGGCTCCCCCACTGTGGCAGGGGCCTCTGGTTCTGGACAGAGGCGGGCAAGCACTCTGCCAGCTATTCTCGACCCTGGAGCTGAGAAGACCGGCCACAGCTTTTGTGCTGGACCAGCGGGGTGCACTGCGAGGGCGGACCCCATCTGCCAGGGCGGCCCCTTCCTCAGCCAAGTAACTTACTGTGCGAAAAGCGCTGGGTGATGGGGGTGCCAGGGTAGGGATATGTGCGACTCTCCCACTGAATGTTGCCTTCTTGGACTGCCTTGATGAAGCCGTGGTAACACTGGTGGGCCACCCCTGGAGAAGACAGAGGAAGCTGGAAGGCTACCCACAAAGCACTGCAGGCAGGCAGGCAAGCAGGCGGGGAGACTGAAGAGGAGTCCGTGACCCAGTCCCTCTGACTTCGAACAGGGAGGAGAGAGAGAGCAGATGCCTGCGGGCCCTTTCCCTCCTCTGGGGCGGGAGGGTGAGCTGAGTGCACCACAACACGCGGGCTCTGTGGACCACAGGAGGCCACCACCTTTCAGTGAGCCCAAAACCCACTGGTCTGTTTGGGTCAGTTTCACCTCCTCCGACAGTGCCACTCCGGGGCCCAGGCCTTGGAGGTCTTTCACACCAACTCCCTCCTTGGCCCTTTTTGAAAGGGGGGGGGGGGGGGCTGCTGGGGACTGACCCGGGGCCCCTCTGCACTCCGAGCAGCTGCTCTGTGGCCCCGGGCCGCCTGCGTGGCGTCCAAGCGGCTGCCGCCTCCACTCTGCGCTCTTGGGAGAAGGTCCTCCGAAGCGGCCTTCTTGCCAACCTCCCCTGTGGCTGGTGCGGCGGCTGTGCACAGCTCTCCCGTGCCACAGGCAGGGCAGGGATGCTCTGGAGCTTCACCCTCCCCCCTGCCGGGAGTGCAGAGGGAGAACACACGCGGAGAACACTGCACCCACCCACCCACAGCAGCCGGCCGGACGCTGGCCCTCTTACGGCCCCTCCCCTGTGCCTGCCTTGTACTTCTGCTGGCACCGGAAGGGGGGCCCGCGCAGGTCTCCAGGAGGCAGCTAGCACATGGCGCCTCTCTGTGCAGCCAGAGGGCAGCCCCCCGTGCCTCCCCCAGCAGGGAGCGCCCTGGCCAGCCCGCGGCAAGAGGCTCCCCACCCCCCCGAGCCAGGGCCGCTCGTACCTTTGATCAGCCGGTACCACTGCTTGCAGACGAGGGCAGCGGTCTTGTGCTCCTGGTAGGGGGAGAGGAAGGACAGGATGTACTCCAGCACCTCCTCCGGCAGCTCCAGCATGGACCTCCCCTGCCGCTTCCCGGCCTCCTCCTCCTGCTCCATGCTCCCTTCTCTCGCCGCCGGGGCTTCCTCGGGGTCCACGGCCATGAAGCTGTCATCTTCACTCTCGGAGGAGTTGGCCATGGCATCCCACTCCACCACTGGAAAGAAAGGGGAGGGGGAAAGACACACATCACTCTCGCCAGCTGACAGCAGAAGGCACCACCCGACTCACAGCTCCTGGGCACCACCGCCAAGGGGACCGGGGACACTGCTTGCTGCTGCTGCAACTCCCTTTCCCCCGAAAGAGTGCAAGACACACACCCCCCCGCCCCGAGGACGGTGCCCAACAGACCTCCCTCCTCGTCTGGCTTGTCGTAACCCCCTCTGGGGGGGGGGGGGGGGGTGAGCAGCGAGGAGGCATCGGGACATGTCAGAGACCTCTGACCGACTACGCTCCCTGGGCTCCAGGAGTCTCCCTTCCCTTTCTTCAAGCCCAGCAGCTGCACAAGCAGCAGGAGTAGCCGCTGCCCTTGTGATGAAGGCATCCACAGCCCTGGCCCACCTCCCACGCGCACGGGAAGTGCTGATGGCCTCTGGCCCCGGCCCCGCACGGAAGAGACTGCCGGCGGCAGACGCGCCTCCCTGGCGGACTCTTGCCAGGCTCAGTCGTGCGCGGGGGGGGGGGCGGCCACTCTTGCAGGTGCCTCTTCAGTTCACATCAGACCCGCCAGCAGCGTGCCCTCCCAGTGCGCCACGCGACAGAACCTTCTCTGACCGACAGGGGTCCTGGGGCAGCCCCAGGGGAGAAGGCTGGACCTCCAGTTCCCCCCACAGTGGAACTGCTCAGTTTCGTCGGCTCTTAAAGGAGCAAACCCCCATGAAGCCTTCAGAGGACCAGGCAGGCAACCTAGGAGGGGGCTGGGGGAGGGGACTCTTCTGACCACTGCTCCTAACTCCAGATCTGTGGAAACTTTTTGATGGTATTCGGGGGGGGGGGGGGGAGGAGAAGCACTTCTTCTGGGTAAAGAGAGCCGCCAAGTGTGACTTAGTTTCCCGTCTGACACCTCTACCGAGTACCCTTTCCCGAGTCTGAATCTTCACTCGCCCTTTGTGGTCTAGGGGGTGTGCCTCCGTCAGCATTCCTTCCCTCATCCTGCCCGCAAATGCGTGATTTATGCATTTGTACAACTGCATATGATAAACATTTCTCACTAGATACATTTCCCTTACAAACCCAACTTTGCTTTCCTTGAGTGGGATCCCACACTGCCCCTCTGGGTGCTCTGAAATGCCCTCTGCGATTCTGCTCCGGCGGCTCCCCTTTTTCCCGGGGGCAAGCCTTCTGGGGGCATTTCAGGCTGCCGCAGGAGGGGGAAAGAGAGGAAGTTGTGCTCCCCTTGCGGAAGCCTTCGCACCCCACAGAAACACGGCGCCCATCACCGTCCCTTCTCCCGGGCCAGGACTTGCGCATGCAGATAAGCAAAAACGCCAGCTGGGACTGGGGGGAAGGAGGGGAGAGGCTTAGGCTATGTACAGCTTGGGAGCGGGCAGACACCCTGGCAGTCAAAAGGAGGACAAACTCTTTTGAAGAAGAACTCTTCACTCCATCCCTGGGGCTCTGCAGACTCCCACCTCTGGCTTGGAGAAAGGCCCCCCCCCACCTGCGGAGTGCCACGCTCAGGCAGGAAACAAGCCCACCGCCCGCCTTGTCTTGCTGGACTCACAGCAGCTGGGCCCTTCTGTCCAAGCCTGAGCCCCAGAAGAGAACCTCTGGTGGAGACCGGGCTGCCGGCTTCCTGGTATCCCAAAGACCTACCCTGGAGCTCGAGGCCGGAGAGGGAGAGAGAGAGGTCTGCTGACACCCCGCCGACTATCTCCAAAGGCAAGCGCAGGCAGGACCAGTGGGAGCTGGGTTCAGACGCGGAGCCGGCCACGCAGCCCTGACCAAGAGTCACACTCACTCAGCCCAATCCATTCCAAAGGATCTCTGCAAAGATAAAACGGGCATCAGCTAGAGATGTGAGAGCCCAGAGGAAAAGAGAAAATTTAGGTAGGAACTGCCCTCCCGTTATCCCCCACCCCACCAGGACTTCCCCCCTGTTTTTCCGATGGAAAAATTGGAATATTTTGTTGGGCACTAAATGCTTTTCTCATGAGACCTGCACCTGTGTTTTGTCTGATGTTCTGCCTGGTTCCCATGGACTGGGCGCGCAACCGTTTCATTAGCCCGCCAGCGGGAATGCTATTCATTGGATCTGTATCTGTTTGAATTTCCTTTATTATGCTTGACCTAACTGTGTATCCCCAGTTCTAACAAAGAACGTGTTTGAGTATGTCTTCAACGCTTTGAAATAAATTTTGCTTTTCTTGAAAACGTGGATTTATTCTCGATGCTTGG